ACAGAATGAAAGTGCCAAAACCTCTTCATGAGATTACGTAGTGGGAGAAAAGAGGTTCAGCTCCAAAGGGGCGCTAACCGACTTTTTTAATTTGAAAGTTCAGAATTTTTAAATTTTCGGAAACCTCAAATTTGGAAAATTAAGTAATCCTGAAATTCAGAAATTCTGAAAATTTGATATCGAAACATTTGAAACCTCCGGAAATCGAGAAAATGAAGTTGCGTCTGTCACCTCGTCCGCACAAAATTTGAAAATTAAATATAAATTGACATGGTCTTTTAAAAAAGAAGGAGGAGCAAAGAGACAAACAGTGAAATAAATAGGTTACATCGCGCCGGAGGCGCGGAAAACAGGCTGGTAAATATTAAAAGTGGAACTATTTTCAGGTTACAGTAGTTGTCGCTGTGGACCCTTTGGCCACAAAAGAGTATAGAAAATGAATAAGCCTGAGAAGAAACAACGCCATGTTTTTGCAAAGGAAATTTCGGAGCAAAAGGAGGAAAAGGGACTTAGAAAATTAAGAGGATTTATTCTGGAGCTTCTGTCATGTACGAACTGTATGCAAACATACATAATTACAAAGAAAAAGCTCTTTTCAAGTAGTTCCGCGCACTTTCTGGTTATCTCTTCTTCCCTTTTCTCATCGTTTCGTCTTGTCGTTTTGTATGATTCTTCTCTTCCCAGTCAAAAAGAAGCAAAGTTTTAATACTCATTTTCGTTTCTCTTGAAAATTAATGGTTCTTCTTTTTCCTTTTTCTTCGTTTTTTTCTCTCTAGTATTCTTGACATTAAACCATCTCGTCACTATTATTCGCTCTATCATATTCTCACTTTTCTCTCTTCAATTTCTCATTGGACAGCAGCACCCACTTATCAAGAACATCATACATAAATCAGATGTTAATTACAGGACATTGAATAGGGGAAGATTTGGCAAATATGTCGTTTCTCTTTTCCTTGTTCTTCTTCTTTTAAACGGGTTTATCATTTATCCTAGGAAAATGCTTCTCTTTTTTACTTTTCCCAAATTCACTGATACCACCGTTTTTGGTATTATTTATTTATTTATTTTCCCTTGTTTTCTGACAACTCTGAAACTAGTAGCTGTAGTAAATAATAGTAAACCATAACCCGATGATCCGATTTCCGTGAGTTTCGTTAAAGAGATGAAGAGAAGAAACTTTATCAAAACTGGTTACAATACACAGACATTAGAGATATTTACTAAATGTGATATTATCAGTCTCAAATCACGGGCAAAATGATGAAAAACCAATCAATCATTAAACGATCGTCTTCCCCCTTCTCCTTCTTCCAGAATAAACATTTTCAGTCCGTTCTTTTTCGATTCTGATCAGAATCTATTTTTTCTTTAATTTTGCCACTTACCGTCGGCTCACCGAGTTCGTTTTCGAGCGCATGTTTTTTTTCTGTTGGGTTTGCGATGCAATGATTTGCATTCCTTGAAGACAAGTAGGGCTTTGCCTCCTTGAAAAAAGAATACTTCTTCTTCTATCGTGAATAGACAGCAGGAAATGTAGTTTTTTTGAGGAGCTCTCTGCGAAGATATGGAAAAATGGAACTGTTTTTTTCGATAACTTTTCATGATGATTTTAGAAATAGTTTAAATGTATTTTTTGTTTCTGCTTTAATCCGATTTGTTTAGGAATTGAACTAGGGAGACCGGATGAAAGTTGGATGTTCTCCATTATAGAATTCCAAAGACTAGATTCCAGTTGATAATAGAATCTCAGAAAGGATTGGAAACTTTTATGAAGTCAAACCTTTCCAATTCCTAGCAATACGTTTTCTGTATGTCTCACCTTGAGTTTTGTTTGAAGTCTTCGATGGGCTCTCGTGCGTTTTGTAATGTTTTTAATCAACAATTTCGAATTTGTGATCTTTTACAACCAACATAAAAACGGCTCAAACGCCCCAGCTTCAGTGGTGATAGTGCGATCATCTTATTGACATTATAGAGAGAATGTGTCAAGACCGTAAAACAGCTGCTTTTTCTGCTTTTCGTGTCATAACAGCTATCACGTTTTTTAATCTAACATGATTTGAGACAATACCGTATTTTCTTTAATAGCACACCCGAAAATAGCTCAATAACTTAAAACCGTCAACTTTGAGCTCAATTATATCAGTTCAAACGAAAGATATCAACATTTGCCTACTAATAAAATGTTGGTCGTATTATGATAAATAATTTGTTAATTAACAACTATTTGATATCTTTCACAGGAATCGATATAACTGAGCTCAAAATTGACGTTTTGGGTGGGCTTTTTTAGAGCAAACACGGTAATCACAATTGAGAAGCTTTTTATTTTTACTTTTTGTGGAAGTTTAGGGAGAAGATGCTCCTCCGAATTATTCGATCATTTGTCACTAACTTCTTTTTTTGCCTTTTCAGCCTCCTTCCGATGGTCCAAAATGATAGATGGACTCTTTTTCGTCTCACCCGCTTTTCTTCTTTTTTTTTGCCACACCCTAAACCCATAAATTTTTGATTATCTCCACGGTTTCGTTCTCTTTTTCAACTTTTCCCTACTACTAGTTGTTTTATATTCCTGCTTTCTCTGAAGAATCACACCTAAAAACCGCTTTCCGGTAGGAAAAATCAGAGTTTGCATATTTTTATTTTTTGTGTTATCTTATAAATGAGTAGCTTTTTAAACATTTACAAGACGCAAGAACTATCACAAGCTTATTTGTTATCCAGACAAATAATGAGTTTTCTGTCATCGAAAAAGTCAAATTATAGATGGGTCCAAAATTCCTATTGCGGATTCCTTATTCTTTTTTTCAAAACTTTTCAGAACTTTCCTTTACACTGGAATGAAAAAAAAGAACAGGGAAGCTGTTTCAATGTAGAATGACGAGAAGGAATCGATGACATTGACCTTTTTGCCAGTGATATAAAGGTAAATTCAGGTAGTCGGCAAAAAAGGAAAAAAACTCCGCGAAAACTCGGGGAGTGTTCCGATCTGGCTGAAACTTTGGGGAAAACTGGAGAAAACTATAGGAAACATTTTGCCAAAGTTTAGGGTCAAAATATCGACTTTGAAAATTTGGCTGGAATTTCAGACAAATTTTCAAAGTAGATACAAAATTTTTGATCAAATTTTTCTCAAAGCGGAGGAAGCTAGATAAATGAAAGTAATGTCCATAAGCATCAATAATTGTCTGGCAAGACTCAGGTAATTCCTTGATTCCATCTGCCCAGAACGACGAGGGCTGCGATTGAAAACGTGGGTCAACTCCATTTTTGTGTCAACTTTTCAATTGAAGTCTTTTCTATCAAGATGACGTTCAAGAGCCCCAAAATACTATTTTTCCTAAAGGGCAAGGTCCGGAGAATACGATGAGTGCCAAAAAATAGTACTGATAAACGAAATGAATTTTTGGCTGATCCCTCTATTCACAAGCGATCTCGCATTGTCGTGCTGGAAGCAAACTTTCGTTTTTTCTCCTCGTTTTGATTCGACTGCCAAATACAATTTCTCTAATTAGGAACTATACAATAGGGCAATTATAGTTGTACCTTCATCTAAAAGTTCCTAGTCTCCACTCCTTTGACAGACCATCAAACTCATAGCATCCCCATTTTCACTGGAATTTTAGGTTTCGGGACGTCCTAGCTCTTCTTTCTCAATCAACTGACTGTTCCGCACATTGTTAGAGTAACTTACCCACTTCTCATCTATGATAATTAGATCACCCACCCAACCGAACGAACGAAGAAATGATAGGAGAAACATGCTCATGTCTACACGGCAATCCATATCGTCGTCCTTCCAAGCTTAGGTTACGAATCGACCAAATTTTTGACACCGCCAAGAGACCTCAATCCGATCACGATACTTGGTTGACTGACGGACAATGCCTTTGACATTTTACGATTGGTTTGAAACAGATGGGTTTTAATAGGATTCTCCAAGAGGTCCAAGTCCAACTTTCGAACCTATCTTCGTCTTCCGATTCTAAATTTCTGGCTTCAAATCGATCGATCCAACGCTTGACGGTAGAGACAGTAAGAGATCCTTCTTCATCTATTTCTTTTAATAACTTGCGAATATCTTCAAACCAGAAAGAAATTAAAATAAAATCCCATTTTGGAAGTGTGGACGGTGAGGAACGAAATCGAGCGGCATGCTCGCGAACGGCAAGCAGGAGGAATGAGGCAAAATGTGTGAAGCAAGTCCGTGAGACACTCTATCCAACAAAAAAACATCCACCAGAAAAATCCATCCCGCTGATTAGATATGATTTCTCAAAGTTGAGCATTGAAATTCTTAAGA